TGTGTAGCAGAAAAAAAAAAAAAAATCATGTTAAACTTTAGAATGCTCGTTGATATAACATCCATATTAGCTCAGTGAATCGGTTAAAAGATGTTAGTCTGATTAGCCGGTTTGGGCCAATTACAATTTGGTGATAAGGTTGGGTTTCGTCGAGGAGCTCGGAGTATTAGCTCGAGGGGCAATTCAGCTATAGCTCAGTGGTGCGAAACCGACCTCACCAAGGAGCTCGACTAAGGCACCGGGCTTTCGGTAGATCGTAGATTGACCTAGCAAGGGGGCACAACTGAGGTCAGAAGGTTAAGATTGCGATGTGAGTACCTAATAGTTTATATTGGGAAGATATATTGAATCTCACTAATATAGGAAAGTGTATCTCAAAGAAAGAGAGAATCTGAAAGGTGTACCATATCATAAAACAAGATACAAACATATCTCTTTATTAGTAACAGAATATCGTAAAAAAAAGAGAAAAAAAAAAAAGAAAAAGACAACCTCCTTATAAAAGGAACTTTTCAAGTTTTCTGGTATACTTTACCACGCTCCATTTACAGTTGAAAAAAAGTGTCAGAGGTTTTTCCGCCGAGACCTCTTCTCCGTATAATTTGCAGGTCGCCATAGTTCGAAGCTAGAGGTATCTGTGATACTACCCATCTATTCCGGTTTGAGGAAAATTTGCACATCACTCAGTGATTATTGTTTCTTTTATAGTGTTACTACCTAATGACATATAAATTGAGTTGCATTCAACTAGAGTGGATAGAAAGAGCAAATTGCATCGTGATATCCATAGCTTTCCGTATAATGGGTCCATTCCTCGCCTGCCAATGCCCCCACCCTGTATGAGATGGTTTTTCTTAACTCAAGATTTTGGTTAAAAGAAAGTAACATTTTTTATTTTTTGGCAAACTTAGAGCCGTATATCATCATCGCTCATCGAAACTTCGTTCATCTCAACTTTGCCTAGAACAATATCATTATCAATTGATATGATGATCATTGCTTATTCTCACATAATATTACAATTTTAATGGTAAGAGAGTTCTTAGAGAGGTTAAATATGTGCATTAGTGCATACTTTCTCAAAGACATCGTTCTTGAGAGAACAACATTTCCCGTCTAATAAATATGAAGTTTCTTGCTCCTGCGATCGTACAGCCATTTATTCTTCTGTCAAAGAATATTTACAATTTCTTAAAAAAAAAACAGAAGTGCCTAAAATGCAATGAATCCTCCATTTGGCAAACTCAGGATCAAAGATTCGGTGCAAGACCACAGAATCATAGCACAGCTGAAGAAAATATACCACTTAAAAAGAACATACACCATCAGATTTATGTGTTCAAATTTATAGGAATACAGATCTACATTATTTAAATTCACAAAATAGGTGATCATTATGTTACAATTTTACTTAATATGTTTTAGCTGCTTACATCATTATGTTACAATTTTACTTATATGTTTTAGCTGCTTACAGGTATCACCTCAACATGGTTGTGCAATTAGACATCACTATTAAGTAGAACCGACACCAGAAGTAGCGCTTGCAGATAAGCCCAAATCATCATTAGACTCAGAATCAGCTGCCTTTTTCCCCATGTAAGGCATTGCACGCATTGCCCTAATTAAAAGTGTGTCAAAAATCTTCGTTCACTTGGTAACAAAACAATACACAATTGTTTTGTCCTCAGCTTGATAAACAATTGATTGCTGTAATACTTAATAATTAAGATAAAAAACTGAAATGAAAAGGAAAATCGAAAGGGTTTGAAAAAGAATAACTCCGCAGCATATCATTGTCCAAAATAATCAATGTAAGAATGAATCACACTTTCTTAAATACCTCTCTTTACGCTTCTCTAGAAAGCGGACCAGGGATGCTTTCCTTGCCTGTGGAACAGCTGAAGAAGAATCTAACCTTAGTTGGAAGTATTACAAAAAAAAGTAAATCAATGAAATGCACAAGTTTGAAGTGAAAAAAAAATAAAAAAATATCAGTTTAAAACAGTCTGCTTGCAGCATTTGCATGCATATTTTTCTTTTACCTGTCGATATAATGGCAACAGATCCTAATGATGACAACATTCTTTGGGGCTCCAATTTGTTAACAACAGTGGATGCAATGCCATTAATGGCCTTAGATACCTTTGCGTCAGACTGATCGATTGGGTGAGGAATTTCTTTCATATCTACCTTTTTCGGTTGATCAATGTTAGATGCTAAGCATCCGTTTCCCGCCAAAAGCATGATAGCCTGAGCCTGCAATAAACATCTCGCTTGAAAAAGGTAACTGAATATAAAAGGATTTAAGGAAAATATTCGACATAGAGAAAATTCTTGAATGAAACCAAAACCGTGCCTTCTCAGGTGAGATGCCATCAAAGACAGATACTGATCCTGAATAAAAAATGGTTAACTGAGGAAAGCCAGAACCAACAGAATTGATCCTACAAAAGTTTATTTTTTTTTAAAAAATAAGTGATTGGATAACACAAACAATGTTTTTAAATGAGTCTATATATATATATGCACACAATAATACACATCTAAGTAGCTAATTCACATTGCATTGGCTAAGATTGGCACTCGCCATTGTTCGGTTGAAGTCAAACTGAGATGAGGATTGCCATCAGGAAGTAGTTGCTTCATGGTGGTACCTTCAAAGCTCTGCCAAGAAACCAATAAGATCATATTATAAGTTTTTCATTTTTAAATAGGATAAATGGGCATAAAAAGTAGATGGATCATAACATCACAGGCTAAATATTTTAAGAATGGCAACTCTTTTGTGCACTTTAAGATACTAGTAGTCCCAAAATGATTTTTCAACTAGTTCTTCGTGTTTTTTAGACTAAACATTGATGGTTTTTATTATCAGACTTCACACAGGAATAAAGAGAGGGAAAGCATAACACCTTTGTCGAGAATGGCCACAGAACTCCTGAGCTCCTTGCAAACGCTTTTATATATGGAAGATGTGCATTAGAAACACACAGAAGAAAGAAAAAAAAAAGAAAAAAAAAAAAAGGAAAAAAGGGACAACGACTAATAAGCAGATACCTAAGAGCATCTCCAATGCTATGCTTTTGAAAGCCAATGATTTATAACACATGTCAATTAATGATTGTAATGTTAATCCACATAGGAATAATGTTAAAAGAATGAAATTTTGAATCAAATTAGTATCTCCAATGCATCAATTTGATAAGAAGTTATTTGTATAGGTGGACCAATTATAATAATTGATTGATACAAAAATAATAAAAAAATAAATCAAATATAAAGTGAATTGATGAGTCATCATGTTTAATATGGTGTTAGATATTAGAAAGTGAGTTCAACAATGTCAATATTAAATGTCATCCACATCATCATGAAAGAGCTAATGACAAGATGCATTGGAGAATAAATTAGTAACAAAATTTCAAGAATTGATGATATGGATAAATTTTTACAATGTCAAAAGTCACATTGGAGATGCTCTAAAGCACCTTGACACAGAAAGGCCCAATTCAATAAACCAAATCCAAACTAGATTTTGTTCAAGTAATGACAGCATGGAAACCATAACAAACTATTTCTCGTTTCCCTTTATGGAATGGGCTGCCCCGTAAAAGCATAGCAGTGAAAATTTCTGAGCTTCAAGTTTCTTTTTCTAACAAGAAACAACATTCCCAACACTTCCATATAAAAGGGCAATATTTATAACATACAACTTGTCTCTTGAATTTTGTATTATCATATATGCCTTCACCTCAAGCCAGACTTTAACAGGCAAGGAAATTCAATAATTAAGTGAAACAATTCAAGAGAAACCCTTCAAATACTGAACTGATCAAAGAGTCCTAAGTAATAAAAAAGAAGAACATGAAGACTTTAGAATGGGGCTAGAACAAACTGACAAACCAAGAAGAATAATAATAAAAACAACCAAAAGAGAGTGCGAAAAAAGGAAAAGAAAGAAAGAAAAAACCCTGAAATTGGAATCCTAGCTACATTATATCCCCCGATCCCGATGACAATGAAAGATTAAGTAAAAAAACAGAGGGTTTTTAATTAGTAGCATCAGGAAACAGAATGGGCAAAAAAAGAGAAACTACCAGAATCATTGTTTGCCCTATCATCAACTTCTTCTTTGACAACAGCAACAGAATCCTTCGAGCTCAACCCCATGAAATTCCTTTCCATATCCCAGAATTTTGCAGGAATTAAACAAACCGAAACAGAATTAACAATTCTGAAAACCGAGAACTGGAAAAAATTACCAAACAGTTAATAATATTCGAAAGGATCACTGGACATGTCACATATACTTTACTCGAAGAGACAAATAGACAATTGTCCAAAAACAAATGAAAGAAAGAAAAATAAAAAGAAGTACAAGTAGAGGGAAGACGAACACAGTGTCAACAGTATAGAGAGATGAAAACCTTCAAGTTACAGCCACAGAGAGCGACAGAGCAAAAAATTTATTGCAGTATAATGAAAGTCTCGATGTGAAACAGTTATACCATTTGTGTTTGTTTATTCTTCTACTTTTACCATTATGTCCATAAATACGGTACGCGATGAGCCACAGTTATGTGGTTGAACTAATTTTATATTATATGTTGTGGAGTTCAATAAATATTAATTTAAATTAATATATATATATATATAAGGAGGCGTTCCAGTGAGAATGATACTTAATAAAAGAAATAAGAATACATCATAGTCATTAGATCAAATGATCCAATAGTTTAACAAAAAGTCAAAATTATACTTTCATTAAGGACATTGTGGTAATTGTTCACACCACACACTGGGCCCACTCCAATTAATACCGCCAGCTACCAACAACCAACTAGTTAATCGTGCCCACCCCTCTCTCACCCACTCCACCTCACGGTCCTCACCTTCTCTCTCTCTCTCACACACACACAGACACACACAACACACACACTATGCACGCGACGGTTAACCATCGCCATCGCCCGTCGTGTGTCGCCGGCTGTCCGCCGTACGCTGCCAGTCGTGCTACAAACCAGCATCAGTAACCGTCATCATCAGTAGTCGAGAAGCCTCGACCCTCGCCAGCGCACCTCAATGTTGCCCTTGTCCAGCCATCGCCGCCCGCAGCACGCCACGCCAGCCGCCACCGCTCTCACGGCAACATCACGACAACACCTCCACAGTCGACCAACACTCGCCGTCACGCCTCCCCGATGGTCACCGTTGTCCAGACACTCGCCATCGCCCCGACACTCCACCGTCGTCATCTCCCGGCTTCATCTTCCACCGCCAAGATCGATCACGCACATCGACGTTTTAGATGGAGCAGCACCGGAAATGTCTGCCTTCAAGATTGAAGGTCGTTTTCAATGGCGAATTTTATNAAAAAAAAAAAAAAAAAAAAAAAAAAAAAAAATCGAACAACCAAAAATGTTGAAGACGGCAACGCCGACCGTTGTCGGACGGAGAAGACTGACGGCCCGGAGGTGGTGGGCGTGAAGGATGAACGGAATCAACATTTTGATGTTTGGGCCTTTCTTTTGGAATCTCTGACGGATGTGCAGACAAGGTATGTGGCGGCAAGTGGGGTGGCGGCAGCGGGGTGGTGGCGTGTGTGTATTGTGTGTGTGCAAGGTGCGTGTGTAGTGTGTGTTTATGTGTGTGCAGCGTGCATGGGTGAGTGTGTGTGTGGTGTGTGTTTGTACGTGCAACGTGCATGGGTGAGTGTATGTTTTAGGTATAGTGTGTGAGAGAGAGAGTGTGTGGTAGTGGTGTTAGTGGTAGGGCCCATAGGTAAATATGTAATGTCTTTTTACCCTGTACATTGACCACGTAATGTACACTTATTTACGAAATTGTCATCAGATGTTTTGACTACCATATTTAATGTTTGACTTGATCATGACTACTAATATGTTGTATCCAATGACACAGATTCATTCTTATCTCTTTTACTATCTATAAATCTCATATGATCTCTTCTCTCTCTCTCTCTCGATATATATATATATATATATAGAAGTGCGCTCAAATGAGAAAGAAGTACAGTGAAAGAAATAAGAATAAATATGTACCATTGGATCTAACACCCCAATGACCATGATCAAGTCAAAATTTAGTCAATCATTAATGGCAATATGGTAATTTAACATACATATTGTGGTCAAATGTATACATTTGACCACTAATTAAGGGTAAAGTTGTCATTACATACAATCACACCCCAAATATGGGTCCCACACCCAACCACCCGTCACCTTCCCCACCCAACCCTCCCCTTCATTCTCTCTCTCACACAAATACACACACCTCACCTAATCTTACACACACACACACACAGACACTCACAGATCGCATTACACACACTATGTACACACACAGTTGCACCTCCTCTACCCCGCCAACTTCATCTATCAGCCCCATCGACCGCCGCCTAGTCGTCCCCACATCTCGTCGCCGTCTGCACCTCCAGCCGCCGGCCAGACTTCCAACTGCCATCGTAGATATATGCACAGTATCACCTCTCAGTCACTGGCGAGATAGATCTGCCGTCTTGATCAATGTCCCAGCCATCTCCGCCGCCGTCGAACATCACGACCAGAAGCCCGCCCCCTGCTCCCACCGTGTCTTCACCGTCCACTGTTGTTGCATCACAGCCGTCGTAGGAAGCTTCGATTTTGTCAACAATTCGACTCCCTAATGGACGAGCTCGGCGCCGATTTCGAGGCCAGTCGTGACCTGTAGGGACCACCCCGGCCTTTTCTCTGGATATTTCATTGTACGTTTGTGTTGTTGACGACGAGCGGCGGGTCGCGGACGGCGTGAGGCTAGTGTCGGGCCGTATGCTCGGACCGCCGGCGACAGTTGGGCGTGAGATTTGAAGTTACAGAGTCTTTTTGTTTTTCTATTTTTTTTTTTAAGACTTGTTTGTCAGAATTAGAAATTTCATAAGCCCGTTAGTGCAATTTATAACTTTTAGTATATTTGCACTTTAGTATGTGGTACTTTTGTAAATTATTAAATGTTTAATAAATGCACTTAATGGTATATAGAATGCACAATACTATATTTAAACATGCACATAAAATTCACTTATTTTTTTTACTCAGAAAATAACATGGCATCATACTGGAATAATTGAGTTTGATTTTTTTTTAAAAAAAAAAAAAATGTTATGAAATTAAAAAAATATTAAAATAAAATAAATTGGTCAGTTCCTTTCAATATTGTGCAATTTGATAGACATTAATATGCAATTCACATAACACTATTGTGCACTCTCAGCGCAAATGTTTTCAAAATAAAAACTAAATCGAAATAATCAAACGGTTGACTAAATTACACAAAATAATTGAAATAATTTGTTATTTATATTATAAAGATTATTTAGTATTTCAATATTTTATATTTAATACTTATAATATTTTTTGATTGAAAAGACTTAATAATAAAATATTAAAATCAATAATGTGCGTTCACACAAACAATATTGTGCAGTTCGTATAACATTATTGTGCAATATTTATTTTTATGTACATTTCAATTTTATAAACTTTAGTAATGTGTTTTGAATTAACATTAGTTGTATTTATCAATTTATTTATATAGTAAAAATATAGTGATTTTATTTTTTTATTTAATAATCTATATTATTGTTTATTAAAAATAAATGACTGCATTTCTTATCAAATTTGATGATGAGCATTCCAACATTCACTAATGTTCATTTAGTCAATATTTATTGTGCAGTATAACGAACGTGTATTTTTATGTACATTTCAATTTTAGGATTTTTTTTATATATACATATTTATTATCTATTTACAAAATAAAAAAAATAAATCTTTATACAGTTCAGTCAGCTTTGTTATTTTTGCTTGTTTGTTTTTTATTTTTTAGTAAATAATATATATTTAATATTTCTATACTTTTACTTATTATTTTTTATTGTAAAAAAATTATTTAATATTTCTATATTTTTATTTATTATTTTATTTCTATTAAAACACATACTATATATTTGTATAAAAAACAAATGTAAAAGTCATATATTATATACATTAAACAAAATTACAGATTTGACCCAATGTACTAAATTGAATGTAATCAAAATTCCAAAAATTGAATTGGAGTCCTTCACTTATATCTAATTCACAAAAATAAGGGCTCACAAATTGTGGAATCTTCAACCACGTCGTTCACTACTCTGTCCTCCGGCGGCCGTCGATGTGGCCGTCGACGGTCGCCGGCGAGTGAGACTGACTGTGAATTTTAGTTTTTTAAAGACTTAAATCCCATCGATGTGTGCGTCTGTGGGTGGAGGTTTGTGTGTGACGTGCGGCGGCGTTTGGGCCGTCTGTCAGACACAACGCCAGTGAGAATCGGGGCGACAGTGATGTGCTCCGGCGAGGGTCGAGGCTTCTCGGCGGCTGAGGAGGGCGGTGGCGATTGAGGAACGATGGCGGTTGATGCTGGTATGGAGACCGTCTGGCGCTGCACTACGGACGACCGACAGCACACGGCGGACCAACGACGGCGTACGGCTGGCGACGGCGATCAGTATTCGGCGCCCGACAGGACTGTGTGCACAGTGGTGTGTGTGTGTCGTGTGTTTCAGTGTGTGTGAGAGAGGAGTGGTGTGTGTGTTGTGTGTTTATGTGTGTGTGAGAGAGAGAAGGTGAGGTGGGTGGGTGAGAGATGGTGGGGCACGATTGACTGGGTGGTAGTTGGCAGTATATTAATTAGAGTGGGTCCACTTTTTTGTGTGTGGTGTAAAAAATTACCACTAACACCCAGCATCCACAATACTTTGGGTGTCTCTTTTTGCATATGTGGCAAATAAATAGACTTAAGTCTATAGTGACATGGACAAACCCAAGCTAAAAAATTCAAAATCTATCCAATGCAAAAAAAAAAATACTAGGTCTAGTATACCTAACAACCAATAAAAATATAATAATAATAAATGATTGCTATCATAAGGTTCACACTTGGGTCCAAAATAGACCCAAGAGTGGACTTGGTCTCTTTTTTTATTGTCACATAAGCTAGACTATGTCCACTTTTAATTGCATTGTGAAACACTTTTGCATAGACTAGGTCTATTTCTTACATGTCATGTGAATTTTTTTTAAAGAGACCCAAAGCATTGTGGGTGCTCTAAGAGACCCAAAGCATTGTAGGTGCTCTTAATTAAGATATAATTTTGACTTTTTTTTTTAAGTCGTTGGATTGTTAGATCTAATGGATATGATGTATTCTTATTTCTTTCACTGAGCACCATTCTCACCGGAGCGCGACCATATATATATATATATATATATGTAGGGAGTGGTTCAAATAAAAACTAGTCTTGGTGTGAGAACCGTATTTGATGTAATTTTTTATTGTGTATGATGCTATTTTTAATATCATATGGTGCTATCATTTTGATAAATGTTAATATAAATTTGTGTTGCTATTTTTAAGAAAATAGATCCATGTTACAAATAGTACTAAAACACAATCTATCATAGCACCACGTACAACTATAAATAGCAGTTCTCACGGTTCTCATGGTAGAACTTGGTTCTCATTTGAACCACATCCTAAATATATAGGGTTGGGTACTTGGGTTCAAGTGAGAAAGGTGCTTAGTGAAATAAATAAGAATAGATCGTATCCATTAGATCGGATGATCTAATGGTTAAAAAAAGTAAAAAATATACCTTCATTAAGGGTAATGTAATAATTTTTCACTCCAAACAATGGGCCCCATGCCACTACAGTCACTCACACGTGGACCTCACCTGACACATCACATATCTCTCTCTCCCTCACTCTCCCTCTCACACACACACACAGAAAACACACGCCATGTCACCAACATCATACGCAAACATACACGCATACACACACAACACATGCACCCACGCACGCGAGATTCGACGCGGGCCTACTCGCAGTCCCCTTGTCAACCCTACAGCCTTAACCTCCTCAAGAGCTGAAGGAACTTCCACACAAGCTCGATTATATGGACATACATAACTCCGTGGTGTCTTGCTTTTCGGCTATTGCATAGCGATAGGTGTAAGATAGGTATTCTCCTAGAACCTAGCGCTAGCAAATAGGTTGATAAAAATAGTCGCAAAATCGTAAAACTGCCTAACCGACCTTGGGACGAGCTAGCAGAACCAAAATTGAGCTCCTCCACTCAAGGTCGCCAGAAATGCCCTGCACCTCACAGCATCAGTATAGCCATGTAAAACTACCATGTTCTCCTCAGATG